ATATATATTAATATTATGATTAAATGATGAGTAGCAAAATATACATACTCTGAATTGCAGGTTTTATTGCCTCCTTCAATTTTAGAGCCCCACGCCAGGAAGCTCCTCTGACCTGGAATTTGGCATCATCGATCGCAGCTCTTCTGATGGTCCCAAGTATAGCACCAAATGTGAACAATAATATTGCAAATCCAGTACATGATGCAAACCGTTTTATACTAACACCGCTTGATATATTCATAACAATGTTTAGAAAAGACTGAAAACAAAAATGGATGTGAGAAATAAACAATAATATCTTCATTAACATTATCTGTATTAAAATTAAACCTTAAAAACTATTTTTTTAAACTTTTATTTACTTTTTAAAAGTGTTGTCATTGAATAAATATGTTTTTTCGATTCAAATCATATGTCCTTTGCTTATTAGTTGATTAGGGCCTCAATGGGAGAGTGTTCCAGAGTCCCCGCCCACCCCATTTCATGGTTGCTTCCATCAATGAGGAATACAGTAGGCATGGCCTAGAACAATTGAGGTAGAGAATATTATTTCCGGGATATAGGCCTATCCGGAGCAAAAACATTCCTACGTGATAAATATCAAATAACAAAGTATATATATAAAATATAATATGCTAACTCAGATATACTACCTTAAATATTAGCTCCTGACGTACTATTTCAAATCAATTATGCATAATGTAAACTTACTGAATTATGTACACGCCAAAATCACTTCTCTCCTCAAGGGCGAATATCTCACGAATCCGAAATACTGTACACTTTAGGCTTGACAAAAAGGCGGGTTGATAACGTTACCATACTCAAAAGAAAGTTCAGACTCTCATTGTTTGTTAAGATGACAGTGACAACTTATAATAAACTGGTACCATCTTCTTTCGACAATAAATTTAATGTATGACCCTGCAAAACTGACGCAGCACCAGCCTGTCACACTCACATCTAGTGTTTACCAAGCACATGTGACTTTGACGAAAAAATTAAAGTAGGCCTACTGAACTTGGTGACTGGTGAGCCTATTGACTGGATCCTAAGTGATGCTCATTACCATAAAAATGGTATGGTCCTGATAATTGATAAGCGTAGGCAAAGCACAATCAATATCATAAGTACAGATTTACTCAGCTTTCCTTCTCTGGTATAATTATTAGTTTGCTTAGCTCATTGGAAGTAGGAGTACAGTCAAGACATATAATGTATTGAATACATATTTAATTAAATAAATAGGCCATTTTTATTAGTTATATATATATATATATTTAATATATATAATTTGTTTTGTTACATGTTGAGGGTCGCAAATGATCAGCTTCTGTTAGATGGATCACCCTCATTATTATGGTTCAAATAAAAATAAATAAAATAAATACATTCTTTATATTATCTGTAAAAAGTTGTCTATAAATATAGGCCTAATATCTGTTTTAAAGATATACCATTATGTCTATTTTAATATTATTAAAGGGAAAATCACTTGAATATTTTATTAAACAGTGATTTCTAATTAATATATTGAATTTTTAGCAATATCCATATTTCAATTTTTTTTGAATAATAAATAAATTAATATGCTAATAATATTATTAGTAATGACAACAACAATGAAAGAATAATAATAATGATAATAATAATAATAATACGACTCTAATAATATCACAGATGGTGTAATGACCATATGATTTTTAACAAACTAAATCGATTCCCAGTATGATAGAGGCGAATGACGAGTTTATGAGACACTTGCAATGGGCCTACGTGAGTTGACGGAAAATTATCGATTTATCTAAATATTCCAACGTAGCCGAAACAAAATAAGGCCTTTTCACCATGTGTGCAGTGTTGTGAAAGCTAAATGAAACTAATTAATCATCGCATCTGTAAATTTCACGTCCATAAGAACGAAATCAAAACAAAATTAGGCTTAATATTTAAACACCAATGCTAAAAATACGAAATTCAATAATACTCGAGCTGTTCAATACAAATGAGAACGTTAGAAACCGATAACAATCATCAAATTTATTCAAATAAACTCTCCGTTTTGAATAAACACCCCTCGAATAAACACCCTCCACAGAGCCTCATTTTGAATAAACTCGAATAAACGCCCCGGTGTGTTAATATTTTCTCGAATAAACTAAATAAATTGTAAACAAAAACAAGGGAAGCAACATCATTCTCAGCACATTCTATTACAGTAATATTCTACTCTACATTCTTTTCTATTCTATTCTACAAATTGGGATAAGTTAATCTTCATGATCACACAATAACACATTTTAATAATTATTATTTTTGTATAGCTTCAATAAACAATAAATCAGTCTGACAGCGCTTTACAGAATGCTGGGCTACAACAGCAGCAATGTATACAATTATTAATTAATTGTTTTATATAATAATAATAACAATAATTATAATACTGATAATAATAATAATAATAATAATAATAATAATAATAATAATAATAGTAACAGTAATAATAACTAGACTTACTATGTCTGTTTGAAAAACAGAACATAGGGCTTTTCCTTTAAAAAGTCTAGCTTAAAATACGAAAAACAAAAATGAAATCATACGGAAAATTATGAAGTTAAAACACATTAAAAGCAACTCCACGTCAGAGAAACTCGAACTATGACTGCAATAATATTCAAAATATGTAAAATGATGTCATAATGTGATATGCACACGGTTGATATATGGTCTTTACTTGGGCAATATTTGAAGAAGATTCAAGCACTAAAGTGACCGACTTCCGGTCAGAAAAACTCTCTGCAAATAAATAAATAAGTAAATAAAAATTAAAAAAAATAAAAATTAAATAAAATAGGAAAACGGAATTGAAGAAGTAAAATAAATTAGAAAAAACAACGGCTATTTCTAAAAAAAAAGAAGGTAAATTAAAAAAAAAAACACTGGGAAAATAACTCGACGTTAGTAAGACTTATAGCTCCAATGGTAATAGCAAGGGTGAAATGGAGACTCATAGGGTAACCATTGTGCGCTATGAGTTCCAGCTAGTTTGTAACGCTTTATTTAACGCAACTTGCATTTGTATACAGTAGTTTAATCATCAGTCCAAAAATATTATTCTTTAAATGGTCCTCATATACACACCCTACTTCGTCATTAAAACATTAAAAACTATTCTAGAACATCATTTAGGTCCATTGATAATTTTATAGAGATACTTATGTCTGGGACCTATAAGTGACCCTCACTTTCACACATGAAACTTGGCCACCACTAAAATTCAATAGGTTCTTCCTTGTAAAATGATCATTTCTTTCCCCAGAAAAATTCATTCATCGATCGATCATTTTTTGGGATATCTGGTCTGGACGTTTAGCGTTAACCTACTCTACTCTCACCTCCACACCATACCCCGGATAGTCAACAAAATTTTATCATTTCTTTATTGGACCATGCCCATTTTGCAGATTTCATTTTTCTTTATTGGTTAGTTTTTGAGATATTTAGGTCTGGGAGGTTAGCACTTGAAATGGCCCCAACACCCGATTGTGGATCGTCACTTAAACACTTGATAATTTCTTCCTTGTAACTTGGATAAACTTCCACGAAAGTTTATAATTCCGACCAGTTGATTAGTTTTTTTAAATATCTGGTCCGGGACGTTCTGCTTTGAATTGTGGTCCTCATACCACACCCTCGCTGGAACGTCACCAAAATTTCATCATTTCTTTTGACCAATTGATTGATATATTTAGGTCTGGGATGTCAGGAATTTAAATGACCCTCAAATTTACATTCTAAACAGGATGTCACCTATACATAATAATGTCTTCCTTGTAACTTAGTTAAATTTTCCCAGAAGTTGTATTCAGATCAGTTCATGGTTCAGACAATTTTTTGAAATAGGCCTCTCACAGGTGGACAAAGTGCTGCCCGCGGGCCGCATGCGGCCCGTCAGCGACTTTTTTTGCGGGCCGCGACAATGAATTAAAAACCCTGTGGATAGAAAACCCCTTGTTTTTTACGACCCGACACCAATCATATTTAAAAAGTAACATTAAAACTGAGAATAAAGTGATGTAAAAGCAGTGCTCGGAAGTTTTTGGAAGCTCACTAGAAACATCAAAGTTTGGGTGCGGCCCTCGGTAATAAATCAAAAATTCACTTTGGCCCTCTGACCGAATTTTATGCTCACCCCTGGCCTATCTGGTGTAGAGTGTTTTTCCTAAAATCCTGGTCCTCACATCTACACCCAACTTTAGATTGACACTAAATATTAGGAGATCCATCCTGATATATGGTCTATCCTTCGACAGATGTTGGAGAAGAGCCAACCATTGAAAGTGAACAAAGTGCCGGGCGGAATAACCCAATGCAAAAAAATTGGGGAAAAAGTATGCAAGGGGAAAAAAATGGCTTTTCTAGCTAGGAAAAGCGCTAGTGCTAGTTCTGGGAAACGCCAATAATAATAATAATGATAATAATAATGATGATGATGATGATAATGATGATGATGATGATAATAATAATAATAATAATAATAATAATAATAATAATAATAATAATAATAATAATAATAATAATAGGCCTAATAATAATAATATATTCATTCATTCATTCATTTCACCTTTATTTCATGTAGCCTCGAATCTCAGAGTACATTTGTACAAATATAGTGGAAACGAGTACATTATGACTAGCAACCAATAGCCCCTAGTTCAGTTTTTAATCCAACTATTAATATTATTATTATCATTTATTGTACCGTCAAATAATTTGGTTTACAATCAACGACGAAACGAGTGTAGTTAATTGTCACGACCACATTGTATGACCCCAATTATACACACGCATAATTGAAAAGCTTTACAATTGCAAACTTTTTTTGTTTTTGGTCTTATTGCGGTGTATCCAACTTTTGGCTTTTCCCAGCACTAAATATTAGGAGGCCCATGATTGCTATATGGCATGCTTCGGCAAATCACGGAAAAAGTCTAAGCATGGGAAGTGACCGAAGTGACGGCCAGAAAAAAGCAGTGCAAAAAGATAGGAAAAATATATGCAAGAAAAAAGAAAAAAAAAATCAGAATAAGAGCAATGGCTTTTCCGATACTGCAGGTAGTTAGTTTAAATCTGCGGCAATGAGGACGTATAAAGGTATCGACGTAATTCAATAGCCCTTGTCGATAAAAAATGATTGATTCTAAAGTGACATAATATATAGGCCTAAATATTTCCTTCATTAGGTTAAGCACTTCCTCCTCCAGCACATCGATGGATGGCCAATCACGAGACTTGGAATCTTAAACAACAGCATGTCTGAGAAGTTTTTGGCTCTAGTTACTAATTCCTTATTGAACTAAATTAAAGAGACTGTCGCTAAACATTTTAAAATGTATACTAAATGCTATACGTAGTGTTTTCACAAACAATAAAACAAGTTAATATGGAAACTGAGACGACAGTTTCGTTCGTTAGCAGGTGTATTGTCTGTGTTGATTTTATCAAGTTCAACAATTATCAACGTCAAATTAGCAATCCCTTCATTTCATAAGACAAACATAACGCAGGTCTTAAAGTAAGTCTCACTATGAGACTACGGGAAAATAGTTTTACTTCATTTTTTCTTGGTTACAAGAAAACATATTCTTACACTTGTCCTAGCCATCGATTGAAGGGAATTAACCTCAGGAAGATTTGAAAAGTGAAATGGAACCTTCTCAGGAGCTGTTTCTATCAAGGCCTTCTTAACTGTAGGCCTATAGTTAATGCTTTTTTTCATGATACGCTATAAAAATTAATATTATTATTAAATCATTTATTGGTTACAAGCTATTTAAATAATTTGGTTTACAAGCAACGACGAAACGTGGGTATTTAATTGTCACGAGCACATTGTATGATCCCGATTATGCCCACGCATTAATTGAAAAGCTTACAATGACAGATTTGTTTTGGCCTTGTTGCGGTGTATCCAACTTTTTTTTTTCAT